CCTGGGGCAGGGAGGGGAAGGAGGGGGTGGGTTGGAGGCGGGATCATGGGGGAAAGGGGACATATGTAACACTTTCAACAATAAAGAATTATTTGAAAAAACAAACAAAACCAAAAAACATGTGCCCCGGAGTCTTCCCTCCAGAGCAGCAGTCACCAACCGATGGTCCATGGACCACTGGTGGTCCATGAGGTCCGAAAGGTTGGTGACCGCTGCTCCAGAGCATTACTTCCCCTCCAGAGCTGCCTCCCTCCCCTCCTGGGGCTCTCACCTGGCCTGTTCCTCTGGCTGCCTCACAGGGGGCTAAAGCTGGAAGACACCTACACCAACAAGGACATGGACAAAGCTCTCCTGAAGGCCTCTCTGGACATGTTCAACAAGAAAACCAAGGCCTCTCTTTACCTCTCCACGCACAATGGGAACACGTACACCTCCTCCCTGTATGGGTGCCTGGCCTCACTTCTGTCCCAGTGAGTATGGCGTCCGGCCCACCTCCCAACCCACCCATGGCCTCAGGGGTCAACCAAGCCTGGGTCCTCTTGTGGTTCAGAATTTTTTTTTAAGAAGGAAGGAAGAGAGGAAGGCAGGGAGGGAGGAAGGGATGGAGGGAGGTGAAAGAACCTTATTCTAATGGTGTGTATAGGAGGTTTACAATCAGTATTAAACAGTCATCTCCAAAGTGAAGTTCATGTATTATGTCAGGGGATGTGCAAGAGCTACTCTATGCAGCAAGAAAACAGAGGAACTTTTATGCATATTTTTATCTCATCCACTTAAAATCTCTATACTTAGTAAAGATTCCTGGTTAAGAGAGTCTAGTTTTAGAGTCCACAACTTTACCACTTTTTAACTTTGACCTTGAGAAAAGACTTAACCTCTATGAGCCTCCCTTTCCCCATCTATAAAATATGTGCAACAACGTTATGTACCTTGTTGGGTTTTGATGAGTGTTAAATGCCTAAAGCAATTAGAACTGTAATAACACTCAGCAGATGCTCAAATGTTGTTATTTCTATTGACATTCTATGTTGTGAGGTTTAGAAGGAAATACATGTACTATCTATAGTACATGCATATAATCTAGGAGATGCATATATATAAACTTGGCGAAATTGCCCAGGTGGTGTGGCTCAGTGGTTGAGTATCAACCCATGAACCAAGAGATCACTTGGTTCGATCCCTAGCAGGGGGCATGCAGGAAGCAGCTGATCGATGATGTTTCTCTCTCATCGATGTTCATCTCTCTATCCCTCTCCCTTCCTCTCTCCCTAAAAACCAAGAAAAACATATTTTAAAATAAATAAATAAACAAACTTGGTGAAATTATTGCTAATGGGGGGACGAGAGCACTACCAGTCAGTGTAGAAGCCTGCAGGTGAGTCCAGTGGTCTGGTCTCCATTCGGAGATGCCTTCAGAGTTCACCGAACTCACCTTGTCTTCAGGGGTGGGGAGAAGCTCCTTTACACCCCGAAATTCCTTTTCGCTCCCTGTGCCTTCTGCACCTTGGATTTTAGCTGCTTCCTTCTCGGCATATTTTCTCCTTCCGGGCCTATCCCCAGAGTCCAAAGCCCCTCTTTGTGTGAGTGCTGGGAGCCCATTTCCAGTGGCAAGAGGTGAACTAGATTGAGTCGATAGGGTGGTTGTGTGTGAGGAGCACAGGATACAATGCCGGTGCGCTTTCTGGGTTTTGATTTCCTCCCCTGCAGTCACTCTGCCCAAGAGCTGGCCGGCTCCAGGATCGGCGCCTTCTCCTACGGCTCAGGCCTGGCAGCAAGTTTCTTCTCATTTCGCGCGTCCCAGGATGCTTCTCCGGGTGAGTCCGTCTTTCTACCAGGTGCTTCTTACCCGAAGAAACAATGTTCTGCCTCACCGCCAGGGAGGCTCCCGCCCTCACCGAATAATGTGATTAAGAACAAGGGAAACCCCTAAAGGGATTGAAGCCATGGGGCAGGTTTGTCTGATTTGCGTATTTGAAGCGCTGCCCTGGCACCAAGGTAGATTTGGGGAACCCAGTCAAGCTGGTCCAGCAAATAGTGCAGGTGAGAGTAAGGGTGGCTTGGTTGCAGCTGGTTCAAGAGACGTGGGCGGATTTGAGGTACCCAGTAAGCAGCTGATGATTGCTTTCTGACGAATGCAGTGAAAGTCGCGCATCTAAACGCGGCGTGAGATGTACCTTGACTAGATGAGTGTGTCTGCCCCTGTGTTTTGCCAGCATCGTGTTTGCTGGCCTTCATCATTTCCTGGCTTCCAAGCCACACACAGGGCACTGTCCCCCCAGGTTGGAGCTCCCACACACCCTTGCTCTCTACTGGGCTGGTGGCTGGTAGCAGTGACAATGACAATGAAGCCGGTTTATCCATCTTGCTTTTGCTTCCCAGGCTCCCCCCTGGCAAACCTGGTTTCTAGTCTGTCCAACCTGCCAAAACGCCTGGACTCCCGGAAGCGCATGTCTCCTGAGGAGTTCACAGAAATAATGGACCAAAGAGAACAATTCTTCCACAAGGGTAAGGAAAGGGCAGGAAGATGAAGAGCTTCGGAAAACTGTATTTTCTGAAGCAAATCTTGAGATACATGGTTTTTACCGTGGTCTGAAAAGGGGATAGAACCTATGGAATTTGGAATGTTCCAGAAAACCTAGGTGGAGCAGCCATCAATCTTATCTGGAACAGGGGACATGATAGAGCAAAGAAAAAAAACAAAACAGTAAAAATAAAAATAGGACCTCTGAGATGAACATCCATGGACAAAACACTGAAATACTATAATAAACCAGGGCCAGAGGGCTTAGGGCGCAGAAGGAAGTGTCTGATAGGAAACGGGAAGCTCTGAGGTACACCTCAAGCTCAGTCCCATTGACCCAAAAAGCACATGGTGACTGTGTCAGTGGAGGAAGGCCATGTTTACTGAAGGAGAATGTCAAACTCCTGTAATAAAATGCCTAATAGCCCAGCCTATGGACTAGACCAGTGATGGCGAACCTATGACACGCGTGTTGGAGGTGACACGCGAACTCATTTTTTGGTTGATTTTTCTTTGTTAAATGGCATTTAAATATATAAAATAAATATCAAATAAGTCTTTGTTTTACTATGCAGCCAGAAGAGCGTCCCACGGAGCTGTAGGCGTCCCTGTTACTATTTTCTCTTCCCCAATCGCATAGAGCTCGTCTTGAGTCTTGCCTCCTCTCCTTATCCCCCAGTGAATTTCTCACCCCCTGCTGACACCACCAGCCTTTTCCCAGGCACCTGGTACCTGGAGAGAGTGGATGAGCTGCATCGCCGAAAGTACGCCCGGTGTCCGGTCTGAAGGTGGTGAGTGGAATGTTGCAGGGTTGGCGGCAGGAACGTTTTCCTCCGCGAAACAGATGCAGTTCTGATGGTGTAACTAGGCCCAGGAGGGTTTGTAGCTCCCAACATGGTCAGAGGTGGGGAGTTTGTAGCATGAAGACCAAGAAAAACACTAGGACTCTTTGCCCTGGAAAGCCCAGAGCAGGGGGGAGAGGCGTGTTTTTAAATCTCAATGTGAAAAAGAGAGTCAACGTGTTTATCTGATCTGCATATGCCAGGAAGCTCCCTAGAAGCTCGATAAAACAAAGTTAGCACCTTACGGGGAAGCAGGCTGTGGCCTTGAACCTATGGGATTCATTAATCCAAAGGGGCGAGATCAGCCCTAGCTGGTTTGGCTCAGTGGATAGAGCATCAGCCTGCGGACTGAGGGGTCCCAGGTTCAATTCCAGTCAAGGGCACATGCCCGAGTTTTGGGCTTAATCTCCAGTAGGGGGCGTGCAGGAGGTAGCCAATCAATGATTCTCTCTCATCATTGATGTTTCTATCTCTCTCTCCCTCTCCCTTCCTCGCTGAAATCAGTAAAAATATATTTTTAAAAAACCACAAAGGGGCGAGATCAGTCAGGAAAATGAATAGCTTCAGAAAAGACACACAGCAGTGTGGTATGGACAGATTCATAAGAGCAGGATCTTAAGGAGAGAAGAGTTTAATGGGAGTGGAATGGGGCCAGAAGAGGTGGAATGTTGTTGTTAATCCTGACCCGCAAATATTTTTCCATTGACTTTTTGAGAGAGTGGAAGGAAGGGGGAGAAAGAGAGAGAGAGAGAGAAACATCAATGTGAGAGAGACACATCAATTGGTTGCCTCCCGTCCACACCCCAACCAGGGCCGGGATCAAGCTTGCAACAGAGGTACGTGCCCTCGACTGGAATCGAACCTGAGACCCTTCAGTCCGAGGGCCGGTGCTCTATCCACTGAGCCAAACCAGCTAGGGCTTTTAAGCTACTTTTTAAAAGAAAAATCAAATATTCGGAATCTTAGAGTTCATGGACCCAGATATCTGCCTTCAGTTTATCTGCCTTCCAAGTTGGTAAGATACGCAGAGGAGTGAGGAGCAATTTCTCTTATAGCCCATACACCTCAATAAACACGGTCTCACGCCCAAATACTTCCTCTATATTTGTCTGGGGCTTTTATTTATTTATTTATTATTGTTTCCTTCCTTTGGGAGACGAAGGGGGAAGAATGAAAAGGTTTGCCAAGGGCAGGGTGTGGAATAGGAGACAGGAGGGAAAAGTCCAGGGATAAAGGAGATTCTGAGATAAAGCAGAAAACTGCAGGCTGAGGGGGGCCCCAGCTCACTCCCAGCCCTGCCAGCTGCTCGGTGGGGGGTCAGGGGCCAGGCGAGGAGGGTGGGGCTGCAGGCTGTGGTGAGAAGGCAGGCTCAGGGGGCAGCTTCACCAGATGCTGACACTGCCAGGGAGCTCAGATGTTTGTTTGTTTGTTTGAAATATGGTTCTTACGGGAAAGTCAGTGGCAAAGAGGGGGCTGTTAAGTATGCCAAGCTGGTTCAGTCATGAGGGGGGGGGAAGAGAGAGGGGCAGGGGAAGGAGAGAGGGCAGGAGGGAAAAAGAGAGACACTTGGGTTTTTCAAGGTGTGTGGCGGAGGGAGAATGACATTTGGGATTTTGAAGGGAGAATTTCAGGGTCCAGCCCCCTCCCTCTCGGGGTGGACCAGCTTCCCTCCGGGCTGAGGCCGCGCTGTGCCTGTGAGAGAAAGCTGGGCCTGCTCATGCCCATCACTCACCCGGGAAGGAACCCACACTGACGAGCTCAGAGCTGAAATAGGACTTTGAGTCAGGGCAGTGCTCGGCAAGCTCTTTGGGCCTCTGCGCGGCCCTGCCCAGCCTGCTGGCCTCTCAGACAGACCGTGTCAAGGGGGCTCTGCCAGCCCTGGCTCCCGGCACCGGTCCCTCGGGCGGGCAGCAGGGCTTGGAGCTGGGAGGGGAGACCGTGGAGCACCCCAGCCAGCCCTGAGGATGCAGTTAGGAGAGAGAGCCCCTGTGCACAGCCCTGCCTCGGGCAAGAAGCATGGACTGAGGGCGGGTGCCCTGGATGAGACTCAATATTCAATGGCCTTGTTTTGCTTCTTAAATCCCACAGCTCCACGGAGCGGCCCTGGGAAAAGTATGCTAGCACAGCTTTTGCCCACGAATCATATACAAACAAACCACCACCCACCCACTCTTAGCTGGTAAACAGAATGGATTGGACACGCTGTCCCCGTCAGCCCGGGCCCTGTGGAGTGACAGCCCCCCTCCGGGGCCCGCATGCCTTCTCCTGCTGCATCACTGCCAGGCGCCGTGCGCTGTGGGCCAGGGCCCTTCGTGGAGATGGAGGGAGGCCTAGCCCGGACCTCCCGCAGCGTGGCAGATCCTTGTCTCCAGATCCCGACGACTCGTCTATCGTTTGTTATAGCTGTTTGTATTGTTATTATTATTACGTTCCTGTGCTGTTATATCTTTATTCTTTCTTTGGGTTTTCTGTGAATTTCTCAATTTTATACCTGGTACTCAGCTGATATAGCGCCATTAAAAAGATAGAGACATGGGCGGGGGGAAGGGAGAGGGGGAAGGGGACGATGGTGTGGTGCTGGACAATAGCTAGACTGGGGGGTGATGACTTTGTGGTGTATACAGTTGTCGAATTCCAATGCTGTACACCTGAAATGTATATAATCACTTAACAAAAGTTAAAGGCAAGAGAGGCAACCAGGCCCCAGAAGTCACAAACAAGAAAATAAAATTAAATATTCATGCCCTGGCTCAGTGGTTGGAGCGCCGGCCCGTGCACTGAAAGGTCACTGGTTCAACTCCCAGTCAAGGCCGAGTACCTGGGTTGCAGGTTGGATCCCCAGCTCAGTCCCGTGGGTGCAGGAGGCAACCAATCGATTCTCTTACACTGATGCTTCTCTCTCTCTCTCTCTCTCTCTCTCTCTCTCTCTCTCTCTCTCTCCTCTCTCTCTCTCTTTTCTTGCCTTCTCCCTCCCCTTCCACTCTCTATCTAAAAATCCATGGGAAAACTAGCCTTGGGTGAGGATTAACAACAACATTAAATTAAATTAAATACTCAACACAGAAAAGGAGGGAAGGGTTCTTCTGTTTCCTGGAGAGAAGCCTGCTGAGCCTCCAGGCTCCTGCCCTGCCCTGGCACCTGCCCCCAGCAGTGAGTTGCTGAGCATGGTCTCCCCTCCTTTCTTTTCTCTGGGAGGTACAGGGAGACCAGGGTGGTGCAGCACACAGGGTGGCCCAGTTTCCCTCCCTGACCCAGGACAGCCGCCCAGGAGAGCCAGCAGACAGGGGCCAGACAGGACTGCGAGAGCTTGCGGATCAAAGCTCCCCGCCTGGCCAGTGGCATCTGAACAAATAAACCTGGGAGGGGTGTAATAGGTTACGTCTTGGCTCCTCCAGCCAAAAAAACATGAAAGAAACCTAGAAGGAACCTTTCCCCCCAGAGGACTTTTTTTCCCTCTTGGGGGAGGGCCCCCCTTTTCCCAGGAACCTCTTATAAAATACCAAAGGATCAGGGAGGTGGGGGCTGACCTGAGGCCGGGACCGGGTGGGGGGGGGGGGGTGGACACCACGTTGCCGCCATTCATTTCCTTTTAGCCAGTTGCTTCAGCCACCCCAACGAGAGAGTTTCCTCCATGGGTGGGGAGCAGGCTGGGGGGTGGGGGTTGCTAGGGACAATGGGGCACTAGGCCCGTGGGAAGAGGTTGGGTCCGCCTGCCCGCCCACTTTGCTCTCTGCCCAAGGCTGTTCATTTCCCAACAGGCACCAGAAAATCCGAGATAAACCCCAATTTGAGCCGCTAATCCAGCATCAGCTGACTCCCTCCCAGGTGCTCAACTCCAGCTCTATTTCACCAGCTGTGGCTGCCCCTTAGCCGATCCCTCTGCTGACCCCCTGCTCCCACTCCCTCAGCAAGCTGGTTGGGGGCCCTCAGTCTGGTTGGCATCCCTGGCAGACAATAGATGCCTTTCCTGAGATCTCCCAAGTAGCGTCTTCTGTGCAAGAGGCTCTGTGTAAGACTGAGACCTGCTGTCAACTCAAAGGCACAGGAATAAAAAAATTTAAAAAAAACAAAACCAAGGTTCACCACCTGCCTCAGGTACTCCCATGAGCTCTGTGCGCAAAGTCAGAGCTGCTCAGTCAGGCCTGCTGTTCCGGTCCAGGCCCAGCCCCTCCAGCGAGGCGAGGACAGACCAGCTCTGAGCTCCCTGCAGATGCCAGCACAGCGGTCAGCTGGTGGCAGTCCTGCCAACCTTTAGCTCAACCACAGAGGAGGCCCAAGTGGTGGGTTCGCTCCTGTCCGTGCCAATCAGATGCCCTGTGCCAGGCTTTAACCCCAGGCAGCAGTCTCAAAACCGGAAGCAACCGGGCACAGGCTAGAGACGCAGCATCCCCTACTAACGGGAAAACCCTCACAAGCTGAAAAACGTGGGATCAGGGAGTGAGTGCCGTTGTCATGTTTCATAAAAATCATCTTTGTTAAAAAATCAATATACTATCCAACCCATACTGAGCTGGCTTTGTAAACTCGCCTAATATTCTCATGCCTCGTCTCACACTTTCTGCCCCTAACAAACCTCCCAACACCTGAGAGAAGCCATCCCCAGCGGAGTTGCTCCTCCCCGGCCTCCACAGAATTCATGGCTCCTGCTGCGGCACTTCCTGCACTTCTCCCCGTGGCCTGTGCGTGCTGCCCTCCCACCAGATGGAGATTTGGTGGGAAAAGTCTGGGTTTTACTGCTCCTCCTAGGCAAGTCACCTAGCCCAAGGCCAGGCACATAGCGCTGCATATATTTATTAATATGCATGTACAGTTCCAGATGGAGGGGATCTGAAATGCCAAGCTTTGTTCCTGTAAAAAAGCCTCTGAATAACCTGACACAGGAGTGTCCACACCCAGGCATGCAGTTTGCCTATCCAGGTCCCCCTCCCTGCGCCCTAGGCTCCTGCAGCCAGAGCCACCCCCCTGGCTGCCAGTGGGCACCCTCTAGGGGCACTTGTGGGTAATGACAACACAAAGACAAGAAGATTGGGGGTGGGGGGGTGGGCTGTTTATTAGGTGGTTATTACAGGGGTCAGACCACGTAAGTGGTGTCAGCCCCGGGGATGTGACCTCTCCGTGTTGATCACAAAGCCCCCAAGGCTGGTCCCGGTGAGCCCCAAGGTCAGAAATGGAACTGAAAGGCCTCAGTCACATGCTGCTTCCAGGCGTCCAGGCTGGGCAGCAGGGAGGAGATGCCCATGACGTGCCAGGTCTCCCCGTCGGACACCACCGAGGTCTGGTAGGACAGCAGCTGCACGCCTGCCTCCGCCAGGAGCCCTGGGAAGAAGAAACCCTTGGTTGGCCCGGAGTATGGGAAAGGAGACGCGAGGGGCCAGGAGTCTTGGGCTGCTGTGATGGCTGCTGCAGTGGAGGTTGATGGCATCTGGATCGGAGAGCTGAGAGGGGGAACACTTGCTCAGCTTTATTCCAGAGAGCATCGGGCGAGGCAGGGAGTGAGCCACTGAGCTAGAGCAATTGCCTGACTGGCTGGCTGCCAGCTTCATCAGAACAACAGCGAGAGAACAAAGCAGGCCCGTTCTTCATTCTTCGGCGCAGCTGGCAGGGATGGAGAAATTGGGCCTGTCGAGAACTCACTCGCTCTCTGCCAGGAAGTGCTCCAAAACTCCCCACAGCCCAGGCGCCAGGGGACTGGGCAGCTCAAGATGGCACAGACTGTCAAATCTCAGAGGGAAGATGGGGGAGGAGGGAAGAGATCAACCAAAGACAGGACACCCCCTCCCGCAACCAACCTCCGCCTCAGGACACCAGCCCGTCCCACAGGCCCCCTCCTCACCAATCATGGTAGGCAGCATGGCAGGGTTGGAGGGCTGAGCCCGGAACAGGAGCAGGGGCAGCCCCCTGCGGAGAGGCACTTCTGGTCTGAAGGCAGCTCCGTTGAGTGCCTGCAGCACAGGTGTGGTGCCCTGGACAAAGCCCACAGCCTCGTAGGGGGCACCTGCCAGGGCCACGCTCAGGAGGCCTTCCCCGCATCCTTGCTCTCCTGGCACAGCGGGGTTATGGGAGGAGGTTACCTGCAGAGAGAAGGCAGGGGCACGGTTACGCCTCCTGGCGGCATCACGCCCACCCTCTCCCTCAGCCCCATGGCCGATGTGTAGGGCTTCAGCCTGGCCCACTGGGTCAGCCATTCAGAGCCGGGGGAAGAGTCAGTGGCCCCCACAGGGAAGGACAGATCTGCCTGGTGGTACAGGTAACAGCTTGGAGGGGGGGTGGAAATGAGGGAGGAAGGGAGGCGGGTCTGTGAGGACCTGGGTGAGCAGGTCTGCCTGCGGGCTGACCCAGCCTGGCCCCTCCTGCTCACTGCTTCCTGCACAGAACCAGTGGCCTCACTGGGATGTAGGTGTGGAGAGGGGGCAGGAGGGGGGCTGTGGGAGCCCTGCTTCCCATGGCTGCTGCCAGCTCCCACTGGCTAAGAAACACAAGCTTTGATCTACAAAGGGAACCAGAGGGAAAGACGCCAAAGAAAAGCCACGAGGGCAGCAGAGGCGAAGAGGATGCGTTGCCAGCTCCCAAGGAGTGTGCAAGCTCAGCAAGGAACCGGGCTCGATGGTGAATGCAGCCCTGGATGGAGCCAGAGGCTGAGCACACGAGGCTGCTTCCCAGCCTCCCAGCCCCCCAGCCAGACGCAAACTGGCTCCTCAGTGTTCCCGGCTGTGCAATGGGGGTGCTGGCACCGACGTGCACACACACAGCACTTTCCCGCACAGCAGAGCTCGGAGGCAGGCGGTAGCCCCGCTTTGCAGATGCAGACATCACCTGCGCCACCTCTCACAGGCAGACTGTCCGTGGCAGGACCAGCCCCAGGGCTCCCACTCACTGATCAGGGCTGGGGGTGTGCTCTGAACACGCAGGGGGAGAAGGGCTGTGCCCACTGGGTGAGGAGGGTGGGCACCCACATTGAGGCCGGCCTCCTTCACCAGCAGCTTGGCGTTCACCAGGTTCACGTCCGCGTGATTGGAGGCGTCTCTGAGGAGGCCGACAATGACTGCGGGGCTCAGGCAGTCC